AGTTTGAGATTTGTTTTGGGAGAATTCTACGGTAGAATATATGAAAAATACCTTTCTTGTGGGGCTTTGTTTTAAACCGTTAAATCTGAATCAATTAAATCAGTTTTGCATAGTTTTTTTTATTATCGTTTTTATGTGATTCTAATCAGAGCCAATATTCATAAACAACATTAACGAATATCGATAGTAACCCCTAATGTAGAAAGATCCATTCTTTCTCATGAAAAATATTCTTTTGCAGGGAAAAAAATCCACCTACGTTTTATTAATTAAAGAGGTCTAAAAATAGATCCGGTGAAACACTCTTGTTTGACTGTTTGATTACTGTTTCAACAGTTAAATCTACAGATGTAGCAGTTCTATGTGGCGCCCTGTAAATTTTTAATACGAACATATGTAAATCTAACCATTAAAAACTTCATCTAACGGTCAAAACATTGTGTTCCACATGTGGGTTTTTCTAAGGGGTCTCACCGTAAAAGCTCCCCTAAAAATAATCTTTAAAATGGCAACCTCTACAATGGAACACCAATAAGTGCTCAAAAATGCACTTTGAATACTGCTAATTTCGAAGTAAATAATTAAATATTTAAGCTTTAATTATACATTTTCATATTTTTATCACGATTATTTTAATTGTAAATTGTTTATTTTTTTCTTATTTATTTGCATATATAAAAATTCAAAAAGCCATGCAACTGAGCCATGGAAACCAACCCACGAGTGCGAATCGAAAGATGCCACGTCAGCAGAGGTGGGCCCCAACTCTAGTCCCCTTTTCTGCCATCATTTCAGTCAGCTCTCCAATTAGAGTTTGCCATGTTGATGAATCCTTCCAAAAGCTTTCTCTCTCCGTGCACTGATTATCCTCGCGATTTTGTGTTGATTCAAATTTAACTGTCTCCCATAATCAAGCCATAATCATCTATCTATCTGATCTCCCTAGATTTAGTTGTAATTTTATTTTCAAATTTAATTCCTAGATTTTGTGAGATATATTTTTATCTCCTTTGTGGCCCAAAACTCTATAAATAGAGGGCCCTGCAATTGTATTTTTCATTCAAGAATTGAGAGAATTTTCAAAATTAAAGTTTATTATTTTTCAGTTCTTGTTTCCTTAGTTTTTCTTTCGGTTAGAGATAAGTGACACATCTTTCTGTGAGTGACACACAACCGTCAAACGGCTAAGTCTTGAGTAAATTCTGTGTGCAAGCGTGTTTCAGTTGTTATTTTTAATTCATTATTGCTTTGTCAAGTTCATAATTTTGATCCCTTTTCTTCTCATTCGTTTAAGTGTTTATAACAATTATTTTTGTAGTGACATCGGTTTTAATTATTATATTTGGTGCATATGGTTATTATTTTTATGTGACTATCCCTTATTGCATTCTGCCTGAAAATATTTTGTTGCTTTAAGATAACGCATGAAATAATCTTGCTCATTTCAACTGAGAAGAGATTAATTTGATAAAAAAAAAACATTTTCTTATTATTTGCGCTCCAAATTCATATTTTCTAATTGCATGTTTAGGATGCGAAATGTGTAGTTGAGTTATAGAATTAATATTTTAATTGTTGCACAAATCACACACTTTTCCTTACTATCTTTATTCTTATTTTTGCGTTTTGATTTTATTATCACAAAAATCTCAAAAAATATGTATCCTCATTTTTGCTTATCTCTTCTAACGTGTGTTTCTCCTAATCAATTTTGTTTGTTATTTGCCACCTCCTCGTGGGATTGATCACCCATTATGTGTTGCAACTGACCATTTTATTTACACAATTTGAACATAATTAAACACTAAAAAAAATTCACTAGTGAGACCCCCATTTGATTAGTTTTTCAACGGTCAAATTTATACAAATCTGCATTAAAAATTTATAACGCGCCACATAAAATTATCCATATTACAAATCTAACTGTTAAAAATTTAATCTAACTATAAAAAATCAATGTTCCACCGGTGGTTTTTTGGGGTGTTCAACCATAGAAAATGCCCTTTGAAATATACCTGCTTACTTTTCAATGCCATCTGTAAAGATCTGTTGACACACCTCAGTCACATACATTAATTTGAATCATGCTATAAAAATTTAATAAAATTAGACTTCACAAAGTTTAGCTTAATCTCCAATTTAATTCCTTGATATTAGCATCACTGTCGTCTTATTGTACCAGATGGTCTACACGACAACAATCTAAGAAACGACATGAATTTTGAATCAGCAAGATCTAGAAAACGATTATCATCTAAAAAACAATGCCAACTAGAAAGAAAAGTATAGGAGACATTTGGTTCATGGATTAGAATCATGAGATTATAACTATTTTCGATTTACGTGTATTTTTTGTGAGAAAAAATACTGTAGCGAACCATGAACCATGATTCGAATTAGGGTACGAATCTCCTTACCAAACACACCCAATGGCAATGAATAACCTCCACAACAGAACGCTATTAAAACGACATATGCATATAAACGACAACAAACCAAAATATCTACATTAAATAGGAAAACAACAGCAATCTCAATCAATGACAAGATGTAGAGAACAACAAAAATACAATATACAATAACATATCACATCAACATAACCTCCAAAATGAGTTATCCTCACAAAAAGAACATAACTTTATCTGGTTTTAAATAAATGACAGATTGCTCGCTTGGACCTGATTCTCTAATCTAGTTGATAATAAACAAACGATGAGTTGTTTTGTAAAAAAACTTGTGATTAGAAGACAATTTTTCAAAGCCATGCAAATTGTATTTTTTTCCTAAATCAAAGGCACAAGAATGCCGATGAGGAAGCCGACAAATTCTAGAAATAGAGCATCCCGCTTCTAGCTATTTTGTAGCACATCCTAACAAGCTAAGGGCCCGTTTAGTTCGCTCATTCAAATTTTTAATTCGAGTAAAGATGTAACTTTATATGAGAGCTTTTTACTATAGTAAAAAAGTTAGATGTGACTGTTTCTGAGAGTTTTTTACTGTAGCAAAACTCAAATTTTAAACTCGAATCACTGAAATGAACATGGCCTAAATTAGCTCTCCTGTTGTCCCCTAAAGGCAAGGGGAACTGTTGCTATGCATATGGGCAATTTCGTTGTATGTGGCCTATCTGATGACAAATATAACAAGTACTCGGTTGGAGTCGCGAGCTACCAAACGATCCATTTCCCCCATGGGTATCGCCACCTTGGGAATTCTTACCCTGTAACTTGGGTTTCTTGCTGATTGGCGAATTTTTGTATGGAGCATGTTGCCTGTGGATATTGTCAGCACAAGAAGAAGCTAGACCGGATTGGCTCCCAGATGGTTGTGGAGTCAAAGAAGCGTTCTTGCTCTACTGAAATCCCGAAACCTGTGGTTGCATCTGACAGTAATATGGAGATAAGAGCCCAAAATGCTGTGAGGCAGCTGCGAAGGAAGGAAGTGCATTCTTGTAAGGAGCAGGCTGTGTTTGGCTACTGTGAGCATCCAAAGAAGCTGGATAAAATTGGCTATTCTTTTGTTCCCTAGAGGCAAGAGATTGTTGCTTCCACATTGGGCAATTTCGTTTTATGTGGCCTTTCTGTCGACAATTGTGACAAGAAAACCGCAGCTGAGATGATTTATTTCTCTTAGTGGCATCACTGCCTTTGGAACTATGACCCTGCAACTGGTCTTTCTCACTACCTGATGAATTTTGGTCTGAAGCAGGTTGTGTCGAGCAATTCAAAGCACCTAAGGAAGCAAAATTGATTTCGCTCCCTTGTTGGTCCCCAGGGGCAAGAGCGAGTCGTGCCAACTTACGTGGGCAATCTCGTCTTACGTGGCCTTCCAACCCACAATTATGACAAGAATACAGTCCGTATCGCTCTCTTATGGGCACGTTGATGGGACCAAGCAACTTGTCTATCTTGTCAATCTTTTTTTCGACAACCGAGGTTCCTTTCTTGCCTCCATGGTTCCAAATGAGATCAGATTCTGTGAGTAGAGCAGCTGCAACCATCACTGAAATGTCTGTTAGAGGCAATGGATCCAACTTTGATCTGATCATGGGCCTCAACCCTTCCTTGATCTTCATGCACCTCAAAATAGGATCAACCATGGCAACTGGGTCACGATCAAACAACTCAAGAAATTGAGCATGATATTGTGCGACTGTCATATCACCTTGAACAAGAGGCACACTATGGGTCCCAGGGATATATTTCTCACGAAATAAGGTCTCAAACACATCCCAACAAAGGTTTGACACGTCATAATTATACATATGCAAGTCCCACCACTCTTCAACTAACCCTTCAAATAGATAAATGGCAAATCCAACTCGGTATTCTTGCGGAACTTTCAGAGTATCAAACATCTCTTTGATAGCTTTCAACCATCTCTCAGCAACTACATGTTCTGAGGAACCTTCAAACATTGGGGGTTTCAACTTCATAAACTCCATAAGGGTGCTTGTCCGGTGGGCTTCAGGGTCTCGTCTTTCTACGGCACTCGGTGCACCCTGAAAAGTTTGGAACATCACATCCAACTGTTCCATATCAAAAGTAGTTGGTTCCTAGGGTTGAGAATTTTGCCTTGGCAGTTGATTTCTTAGAGTGCACACATTTAACCAGGTGTGAGTTCTGAAATGCTCATAAAAAATTCCAAATACTTAGAAAAATTTAAATAAAAAAGTGATACTACACACTAACAATCCTGCATAATTAGTCATTCATAAATGATAAATACAAAAACAGTGGTGCTCAATGTACGTCCCATTATTGGTACCTTACAATTTAAAACAACTTTTATACATACCATATAGCACATAATAAAGAAAACAAGCATCCAAACAATCAAGCCATAATGCAATCTCCCAAATGCTATCACTCTAAGAAGGCCGCGAACCAGCTGGGAAATTGTAGAAAATGATTGCACAAAGGCTACTCCAATTTAGATAACACCCTATTATCTTTTGCAGATTCATAGTAAAGATAATAAAAGCAAAGTGTTTGCTGCAAATAAAATTTTGAACAACAAACTTTCAAAAATCCCAAGCCTCTTATTATTAATCGAATACTGCACAGAACGCTATTTTTTATTGCTTCAAAGATCTGGCTCATTTTATTCAAGGAAACCTTCTCCAAGTCCATTTATTGCAATCCCATCATGTGATTGCTATAACATGAACATGTGTATATAAAGTCACAAAACCAAGACACTTATTTGTTGGTATGCCACTCTCAAGTTTAATATTCTTCAGCTCAATTTTAACATTACTTTTTGCTTGCATAAACTACTGAAAGCAAGATATGTTGCACGCAAAGAAAGGATCAGAAGGACTAAGCATAAATGATTGCTTACCGATCGGTTTTCTAACTGTATAGGATTCCCTGCAAGGTTAGCCTTTTATAACAATAATATGTCAGTGTATCTCATCATCTGGATGATGGATGCCTAAGTTTATGTACAAGTTTTTGCCATATCATATGCAACATTTGAAAGAACTAACAGGTATTCGATGTTATAAAAAACAAGCAATAATCCTTCACAGAGGCCAAAGAAGCATGGGCGAGTTAGAGATCCAAACTGATATCCAGCTCGAAGGCTGTTAGCATAGGGCAAGCTGAAGCGCCAACCAACAGGACACTTTGAAAGTGAGCGTAGGGGTGAGTCAGCTTCAACTCGCCCCTGCAATAAACATTCCTGTGTAGCAATTTAGAAACTCACACCCAAGGATGCGCAACATTGCGCTATCATCTTTTATTCCGCACGAAGGCGTGATTCCACTTGAAGGCGTGATTCCGCACAAAGGCGATAGTATGCATGCTCAGTTGTAACACACTCTAAAGGCATTTTATTCCAAACAATCTATGCACTTTTAATTTCAGTATAATTAACATGAAAATCAATAGGTTGCAAGTAATATGTGTACATATATGACAAAAAGTAAACATATAACAGCTTTTCTTTTCAGATTTCAATTTTTAATAAAAAGAAAACAAAAACAAAAACAAAAAACAAAAGTAATAGAATCAATACCTGCCTCAAATTAAGCACAAACCGAGCCCTTGAATCGATTTCTCCACAACATCTCAATCCCCTACACAATTCCAGTTTATCCAAATCGGAGTCATGAATTACCAAAACACAATAAATATGAAATCACAGAACATATGTAGGGAGAAAAAAAAAAAAAAAAAAAAACCAAAGTTGGGCATACCGGGTTTGAACGGAAGTTCAAACTTTTTGCTACAGTGTTTTCTCCCGCACAAAAATTGAATATCAGTTTAAATTTTCGATTCAAACCCATGAACCAAACGGGTTATAAGTTTTAACTTTTAGTGATAAAAACGAACAAGTTGAGGGAATTAAAATTGTAACTTCTTAATTCATAAGAAAAATGAGGTTCTTGAGTTCTGTTTATGTAGAAAAAGATTCATAAGAAAATTTAACAAAATGAAAAGTATATTCCAAAAAAAAAAAAAACGTAAACAGATCGAAACCCAAATTAGTTGAGAAGCAAATGATTTCGGATTAGAGCAAAAATCAGCTAAAAAACCAGATGGGTAAAAATCGGTAATTAAGCAAAAGAATTGCAAAGGAAGAAGCAGAAATGAAATACCTTGAAATGGTATTGACGGGGTTGGATCAGAAACGCCCCAACAAATTGATGAAAAATAGAGAGGAAAAAGGGGAGAGAGAGAGAGAGAGAGAAGAGTTCGATTTGGAAATTCTCTTCTGGTTTTGAGGATCAGGGATTTGAATCTGTTTTGTTTAAAATAAAGTTTGATTGATGAAACGACAGAGGAGCAGAGACGAGAACAAAATAAGAGTTGGGCCTTAAGAATGTCAACCAGAAGCCCAATTCCAAAGGTTCTTGGGACCAAAATTATATCAAAATAGTAGAAAATATGCCATTATGAAAAGTTTAAGAAAGTATATATATTAATTTTTAGTTATAAAAATTAATAGATCATAACTTATTAATTTATAATTTATAATCAGAAAAATTATGGATAAACTTATCAAGTTATGGTTCATAGTCAGATAAATTATGGATAAAAATATGTCATAACTTGTCAAGTTATGGTTCATAACTAGACAAGTTATGGACAAAAATAGTAATTTGACATATTTATTAACTTATGTAAACTATTGGCCTATTAATTTTAATTCATCTCAAATCTTGACCTATTTTCCTCTTTCTCTCAAATTATATTGACTCATGGTTGCACACAGCAATTTTTTAAACTTGAAGTAATTAATGACATAATTATTTTAGTTAGTTAGTAAATACAATATTTTTAAAAATTAAAATCTATTTTTCCTATTTTATTCTTATTTTTATTACAATTCTCCTAAAATTAAAAAAACCTTAAAATTTCGCTAACCTCTCTCCCTCAACAATCAACACTTTTTCTCTCTCTCCCTCCCATCTCTTTCACGTAATTCTCTCTCTCTTATGACATGTTTACCTACACGTAATCGAAATGAGCATGAATCAGAGTGGACATGATTTGAAGTGGATAGAATTCAGAGTAAGGAATTGAAGTCAAAATAAGTTGTTTACTTACTGTACGTTTGGTTCATGGGTTCAGAATCATGATTCAGAATTAATCTCGGTTTACGTGTATTTTATGAGAGAAAATATTATAGCGAACTACGAATCATGATCCAAACCATGACACAAATCCTTGCTCCAAATGCACTTTTAGTGATAGGATTCAGAATCAGAGTCATTCAAAATCTCATTCATACATTTACTTACACCCAGAATCAGAATGAAAATGTGTAAAAGTACTAATATACCCTTTAAATCAATTTGATAGTCTTTTTACCAGTCTTTAAAAGAAAATTTATGAGGAAAAAAATCTTTTTACTAGTTGTAAAAATAACATTTTCATAGTAAACTGCTTTTAACTTTAAATAGTATTAAAATCTACTATTTACTTTAATTATTTACTGTAAATCTACTATTTATTTTATTCTCCCAAAAGAAAATATAATAAGAGGACTCTTTACACAAATAGAAAAATTTAAATAGTTAAAGTTGAAATATAAAAAAAAAAAAATTTCTTATATATAATATATAACAAAATTAGCAAATTTTAACATTATTTAAAGGGATGACTATATCATTATTTAATATAAAATATGATATCATTTTAATAATTACTATATCATTTTTGTTATTTTAATTACATTTTGAAAATTTTCTTAAATTTCAATTTAAGGTATAAAATTTTGCCATGATGTTTAACTATCTTTTTGTAATTATGAAGAATGTCAAGAAAAAAACCTCATCGTTGGATTTACATTACGGATTTTAGAGCTTTAGATTTATACCATGCATATAGATTAGTTAAAACAAAAGTCAAAAAGGTATGGTACAACTAGAATCGCAAACAAACTGTAGTGTTGATCGAAGACATATAAATGAATTGTCCACTAAAAAAAAAAAAAAAAAAAAAAAAAAAAAAAAAAAAAAAAAGAAGGGGGAAAGGTAGTTGGAAATCCACACAACACCAGAAAACATTCAAAAGAGTAGCGAGAAGTGTAGTAAGGAAAAATTAAAGAAAGTTCTCCAACTTATTTGGAATGACTTGAAAAAATAGTAGAGAACTTTTAATTAATGTTTGGTTGAAAAGATTGTCCTGAACCAAAAAAAAAAAAAAAAAGTATTGGATACAAGTCTCATATTAAAAAAAATTCCTCAAGAACTAGTTTGTCAAGACCTAAGAAACTTACGAAATCCCTCTCTTGTTTGTAATTTATTTTGTATCTTTTTTCTCTTTTTTTTTTCCTTTGAAATTACTCATCCGATTCTTGTGTTACAGTTTGTTGAAGAACTGAATACTAATCCACATTAGTCATGTCAACACTTTTTTACTTTTTAATTTTCCTTAATAAGCAATACGAATAGGAAGTTTGCTAGAATTCTGAAATAATGTGCTGGTGGAATCTCGTGTTATACATGTGTGTGTCTCGTTCACTTTACGGATTCGAGTTTTCAATTTGAGCTGAAATGTGACATTTTCTGAGAGCTTTTCACTGTAGCAGAAAAAGTTAGATGTGACATTTTCTGAGAGTTTTTTACTGTAAAAACCTAAAACTGAAAACTCGAATCAATGAAATGAATGAGGCAGTAGTAACAAAAAAAGGTTGAGTCCCAACAAAATGGTTGTATTTCTGCAAAGTTGATAAAGAATGTAACCTTTTTTTTAATGGTAATATAACAAGATAAAGAATATTTGGTGATTAGTACAAATCAATATTTTGTAAAAACAAAGTACCTGTAGAAGAAGAAAGCTTGCAGGATCATCTTATAACGTCCTCGAGGGGTTTTTTTTTTTTTTTTTTTTGCCATTTTGTTAACTGTGTGATTATATCCAGCAATGTAGATTAGTGGGGAGCAGAGGATAAACGAACAAAAAAGAAAAGAAGGAATTAAAATCTAAATCACAAGTTTGTAGCTGAAAAAAAAAATTTAATGAAGCAAATTGAGGGGAAAAATTAAAACAGAAAAGTATTGTTATTACAAAATTATCTTTCAATAAATATATATAATGAGTTTTTAATAGTTATATTTCTATCCATAGTTAACTATTGAATTATTGAAAAAAAAAAAAGTGCCTACTATGTTGTACAATTAATGTGGTAGTTATATGACTTGTTATAGTAGGTTATGCAACCGGTTAAGTTTAAACATTAATAAAAAAATATATTTTTAATTAATTTTTCTTTTCTCCTTTTTACACCTCTTAAACATGTATTAATTCATTTCTATACATATAAAAATATGTGAATCGAGTATAAACTACTCATTGAATCGTTTCTATTATTATACCATATGAATGCTATTTCGAGCATACATTTTTTCGAACAGTAGTCATATACACCATGAACCAATTAGGCTTGCATCCTTAAATATTAGGGATTGGAGACAAACAATATTGGTAGTTCACTGTAAACAAACATTGGAATTTTGTTGTGAGAGAATGTTTTGATCATGTTTTGTAATTATCTAATGTATTGGTCTTTATATGCATGCTAATCATGGTCCACCGGCAACTGGCGACTACCAATAAATATATGATTTACTCATAAATAGTGTAGATACTCAAAAATACGGTATTTATCGATCACTGAGTATCTACACTGAAAAGCTATAAATATCATATTTACTCATAAATACGGATGCTGACATCGGTGTCTGTGCCAAAGATTAGTAAATACAAATGCTGACAGTTGCATAGACGTCGGCAACCAGCAATTTGTGGCGACCCTCCTATGAGGCCGCCACTGTAACTTAAACTTTAACTTGTACTTACTGGGGTTTCTTAAAATTTGCGGAACATTTTTTTGTTTTTAATATAAGAAAGAATACTTTCATAATTTGTAACAATAATTTCAAATAAGTGAATCACTAAATTTCTAAAAGCTTTTCTTAATTTCAGTTAAGATAAAACGTTCTAAAAATATCTTTCAAACAGAGCAGCATTTGAACTCTTATTTCAAATGCTCTTTAAAAG